AGAGAGAGAGACAGAGACAGAGACAGAGACAGAATCTGAAACAGACTCCAGGCTCTGAGCTATCAGCCCAGAGCCCGATGTAGGGCTTTAACCCATGGACTGTGTTATCATGACTTGAGCTGAAGTCGGATGCTTAAATGACTGAGCCACCTAGGTGCCCCTAGCAAAGAATCATTTAAATATTAACATCTAGAAGTAGATTATCACAATCAAAATAACAGAATAAACAAAAATAGAATGCTAGCCATTCATATTCAGGTGTGACTTTTTAAATGTTTAAAAAACATTTAAAAGAATCAGCTTACAGACAATACTTTGAATTTTAATTACTAAGTTCTTTCAAATAATAAATACCATTCTGCATAAAAATGACTCTTACCAAAAATGGACAATAGGCTCCCAATTGTGTTGCAAAAACAAGGCCATCTAAAAGGTCCTGGTCAAAATTTACTATCCATCTCTCAGAGGGAATAACTCCTGTCACAAAAAAGACAGAGAGTAAATATAACATTAGTTTTGCTTTTCTAGAAAGATAACTTATGGTACTGTCTAAATGTATTCTGATCTTATCACTGTATAATGCAGAATATATTTAAAATTGACAGACATTACAGAAAAAAAATGCTTTCAAAATCATTCACACTATGGAGATATTTAGTGGACAGTTCAAACATAAAGGAAAAGAGAACATGTGCCTGGCTTTATTTCTCTGGTTTTCAAGGAATCACAGTCCTTGAGAGATTTTCTTCCAAAGTGACACACAAAAGAAGAGGGAAATAATCTGGAATTTTCTATTCCTTCAAAAGGAAAATGGACTGATGAAAAAAAGAAAAATGGGAAAAGTGGGGGAAAAAAGCATAAGTGCTATCTTATTAAAATTTGAGCAACAGTTGGGGCGCCTGGGTGGCGCAGTCGGTTAAGCGTCCGACTTCAACCAGGTCACGATCTCGCGGTCCGTGAGTTCGAGCCCCGCGTCGGCTCTGGGCTGATGGCTCGGAGCCTGGAGCCTGTTTCCGATTCTGTGTCTCCCTCTCTCTCTGCCCCTCGCCCGTTCATGCTCTGTCTCTCTCTGTCCCAAAAATAAATAAACGTTGAAAAAAAAAAATTTGAGCAACAGTAAGAAAAATTGCCTTTGCTTGAAAAAGAAAAAAATACTATTTTGCAAATAAAGGCAAAATATAAAATTCAGAAGCTTAATACATGAAATATATCTGTAGGGTTTTATAAGCAACTGAAAACTGGTTTCTTCATTTTTATTTTGTTGTTTTTTATTTTTTAGATATGGAGAGAGAGCTAGCAGGGGAGAGGGGCAGAGGAAGAGAGACAGAGAGAGAGAATCTTAGGCAGGCTCCACACTCAGCATGGAGGCCAACGTGGGGCTCAATCCCATGACGCTGGGATCATAACTTGAGCTGAAATCAAGAGTTAGATGCTCAACTGACTGTGCCACTCAGGCACCCCTGGTCCCTTTATTTCTAATTGAAGAACTCTGAAGAATATATTACCATGCAGCAATGGAAGAACATTCCAGTATTTCAACATTAGTCATTCTCTTGAGTACCCTAGCATTCAAATGTTTGATCAATGATCATCAACATGGGGAAGGCAACTCAGAAGGCATGAAGTTTCCTGTAACTCTAAAGTTTAGGTGCCAGTTTCCCTAACTGTTGAAGAAATTAATCCAGATTTGGTAGTATGTGGAAAGGGTAGGAGATTTATGGCTTAAAGAAACCAGAATTTATCTATAAAAGTTAATAGAAGATGGAGGGGTAATAAAAGGAATGGGTCAGTTATAGAGATGACTGCTACACTGAGACTAAAACCAAAGTGAAAATATCTAGATATGTGGTAAATATCTTAAAGATTGTCCTATATTAGGGAGGAAAAAAGGGTTACATAAACATCAGAAAGTTTTGCTATGTTGAATGAGACATTGCCTTTTTTCTAAAAAGTTTCCAAAAGGTACTGGACAAACTAGACATTAAAACAAAGAATGTAACAAGAGACAAATAAGGATATTATATAAGAATAAGGGAAGCAATAAAAAAATAAAACAATTGTAAATATTTATGCACCCAACACAAAAGCACCCAAATACATAAAACAGTTTAATAATAAACATAAAGGAATGGATCAAGAATACAATAATAGTAAGGGACTTTAGTACTCCACTTATATCAATGAATACATTATTGTGTTACATAGGTTACAAGAGTAGCTCAATATTTGCAAATCAATATGATACATCACATCAATAAGATAAAGGATAAGAACCGTATGATCATTTCAGTAAATGCAGAAAAAGCATTTGACAAAGAACAATATCCATTCATGATAAAACCCTTAACAAAACAGGTTTAGAGGAAACATACCTCAACCTAATAGAGGCCATCTTTGAAAAACGCACTGCTAACATGATCCTTAAAAGGGAAACACTGAGAACTTTTCCTCTATGGATGAGAACAAGACAGCTATATCCACTCTCACTACTTCTCTTTTAAAAAAAAAAATGTTTATTTATTTATTTTTGAGGGGAGCACACATGTAGGGGAGGGGCAGAGAGAGAAGGAGAGAGAATCCCAAGCAGGCTCCACACTGTCAGCACAGAGCCTGACACAGAGCTAATTTCAAGAACCATGAGATCAGGACCTGAGATGAAATGAAGAGTTGGATGCTTAACCGAATGAGCCACCCAGGAGCCCCACTCTAACTACTTCTATCCCATAGTACTGTAAGTCCTAGCCACAGCAATCAGACAACAAAAACAAATAAAAAGCATCCAAATCAGTAAGGAAGATGTTAAACTTTCACTATTTGCAGATGACATGATACTATATATAGAAAACCCAAAAGACTCCATGAAAAAAAAACAGCTAGAATTGATAAATGAATTCAGTTAAATTGCAGGACATAAAATCAATCTACATAAATATGTTGCATTTCTATACACCAATAATGAAGCAGCAGAAAGAGAAATTAAGGAATCAGCCTTATTTACAAGTACACAAAAACCAGTAAGATACCTATGAAGAAGTCTATCCAAAGAGGTGAAAGACCTATACTATAAAATAGTGATGAAAGATATTGAAGATGACATTAGGAAATGGAAAGACATTCCATGCTCAAGGATTGGAAGTAAAAATATTATTAAGATGTCTATACTATCCAAAGTAATCTACACATTCAAATCAATCCTAATGAACATACCAACAGCATTGATCACAGCACTAGAAAAAACAATCCTAAAATTTGTATGGAACCCCAAAAGACCCCAAATAGCCAAAGCAACCTTGAAAAAGAATAGCACATCTAGAGGCATCACAATTCCGGACTTCAAGTTATATTACAAAGCAGTAGTGATCAAAACAGTATGGTACGAGCACACACACACAAAAAAGATACATATATCAAAAGAATAAAATAGGAAATCCAGAAATAAACCTACAACTGTTTGGTCAAGTAATCTTTGACCAAGCAGAAAAGAACATCTAATGAGAAAAGGATAGTTTCTTCAACAAATGGTGCTGGGAAAACTGGACAGCAACATGGAAAAGAAAGAAACTGGACTACTTTCTTATACCATACACAAAAATAAATTCAAAATGGATGAAAGACTTTAATGTGAGACTTGAAACCATAAAAACCCTCGAAGAGAACACAGGCAGTAACCTCTTTGACATTGGCCATAGCAACTTTTTCCTAGATATGTCTCCTGAGGCAAGGGAAACAAAAGCAAAAACAAACTTGGGACTGCATCAAAATAAAAAACTTTCTGCACAGCAAAGGAAAGAATAAACAAAACTAAAAGGCAGCCTACAGAATGGGAGAAAATATGTGCAAATGATAATTGGAAAGGATTAGTATCTAAAATATATAAAGAACATATACAACTCAACACCCAAAAACTAATTCAATTAAAAATGGGCAGAAGACATAATAGATATTTCTCAAAAGAAGACATACAGATGGCCAAAAGACACATGAAAAGATGTTCATCATCACTTACCATGAGGGAAATACAATCAAAATTACAATGAAGTATCACCTTACACCTGTTAGAATGGCTAAAATCACACAACACAAGAAACAGTAGGTGTTGGCGATCGTGTGGAAAAAAAAGAACCCTCGTGCATTATTGGTGGGAACGCAAACTGGGGCGGCCACTGTGGAAAACAACATTGAGGTCCCTCAAAAAGTTAAAAATCGGACTACCCTATGATCCAGTAATGGCACTACTGGGTATTTACCCAAAGAATACAAAAACAATAATTCAAAGTGATGCATGCACCCCTACATTTATAGCAGCTTTATTTGCAATAGCCAAGATATGGAAGCAGTCCAAGTGTCCACCAACTGATGAATGTATAAAGAAGATGTGATATATAGAATATTACCCAGCCTAAAAAAAGAATGAAATCTTGCCATTTGCAACACTGTGGATGGAGTTAGTGAGTATTATGCTGAGCAAAATGGGTCAGAGAGGATTGGTTGCCATGTAATTTCATTCATGTGTAGAATGTGAAAAACAAAACAAATGAGCAAAGAGAAAAGAGAGAGAGAAACCAAGAGACAGACTCTTGATTACAGAGAACAAATTGGTGGTTGCTGGGGGAGTGAGGTTGGGGAGGTAGGTTGAGTAGTTGATGGGGATTAAGGAGTGCACTTGTCTTGATGAGCACCAGGTGATGTACTTAGTTGTTGAATCACTATGTTGTACATCTGAAGCTAGTATAGCACTGTATATTAACTAATTGGGATTAAAATTAAGAACTTCAAAAGAAAACAAAAGCAACAAACAAGTATTCCAAATGGCTTAAATTCTTAAAGGTCTGAGATGATGTCTTATCTGAAATCAAGGGGAAACACTGGCAGTCTTCACAAATACCCTCAAATTCCTTGACTCTCACTTTCTGTGAAGAAGAAACTATGGTAAGATATGTTCATGATATGTATATTAACTTCACAAAACAAGATTGCTTTACATCTGGAACTGGAAGACAGATTTCCCAGGAGCAACAGATGTCCTAGATACTTCACAAAAACAGTGCCTGGTATGTTTTCATCTGAGATGCTACAACATTAAACAGTTGGTCAATTGGAGTTCTATAGCATATTATTGCAAAATCAGTCTATCAAACAAAGATCACTAGAAATTTTCAACTAGTACATAGCAAACAACATTTTCTGTTATATATTGCAAAGTATTTTTTCCTGATAAAAACCTATAAATAACTGTGTATCTGATATAAGATGTGAGACAAGGTAATGAGTTTAAAATGCTCATTTCTGGTTGACTGAATATTTATAACCTAAATGTGCTTCTCTTAATGTATATGGACCACCTATGGCTTTTAATAAAAGCAAAGGGTCTCATTTTTCAAAAATTGGAAGCAATTCTAACTTTAATCTGAAAAAGACAATTTACTAGGCTTTCAAGTTGACAGTGAATCAGTCATGAAGTATTTGATATGGACCAT